CTTCTCTGGAGTTGAAAGAAAGAAAAGAAGGAAGGAAAGATAAAAGGGAGGGAGGAGGGAGGAGGGAGGAAAGAAAGGAGGAACGGGGAGTAAAGGAGAGGGGGAAGAGAGAATGGGGGGCGGAGGAGAGGAAGGAAGCAAGGAAAAGAGTGAGGGAGTCAGGAAAGAGCAGGCAGGGAGAAAGAGGCAGAAAGGAAGGCAGGAAATGGAAGAGAAAGGTCTGCACTCCGTGACAACGGCTCCCTCCTGGGCTCCTGCCGTTCTCTGTCCTCACAGACACTGTTTCTGCGCTTGTGCTGTCATCGGTCTGGTGATAAAACGCTCATTAAAAATAAAGAGTCTGCATCGCTAAAACGCAACAATAAACTCAATGAGGAAAAAATAAATAAACGAAGAGTCTGCAGGCGCGAAACGTGTTACCTGCTCGAGTGGACCCCTTGCCCAACAGTAAGCACAGTAGCCTGGGAGAGACGCACACACTCCTGCAATAACATGAATTCCAAACCTCACTTACCGTCCAGCTAAACGCTCCGCACGCATTGCAAGGACAGTGAGGGCTAGCCAGCTAAGGAAAAGTCCTTTCAGCTGCTCGCAGCCAAGCACCCTGCTCTCTCCCAGGTCGCCTGCTCCTCCGCTGAGCGGAGTTTAAAGGGGTTGCTCGCTCGGGTCCTGAGCACATGAAGTTGCTTCGACTCCCCCGGGGTTTGGAAATTTTCCCTCAGCGTGATTTTCCAAGACACAGTGTGTGTGTGTGTGTGTGTGTGTGTGTGTGTGTGTGTTTCCTTGTTCAGGGTTTATATGCTTTCATGACCTCAAACAATCTGAGATTTTTTTATTTTTTTTAATCTATTGAGATTATTTGCACTTTTTACGTGTACAGTACAGTTACACTCAACATCGGGATCTCGTACATTTACATGACAGGTCTTGGTGCTCATTTCTCCCCATACCCGTGTCCTCCCTCCACCCCCTCCACCCTCCCCTATTGACAAAGACTTTGTTTCCATGTTTTTGCTTTTCTCATATCTTTTCTTTTCTCTTCTTTCCTTTCCCCTTCCCAATTTGACTTCTTTGCTCTTTACCTTGTTTTCACAAAGTTTAATTATTGTTGCTTTTCATCAGACACCAACACCACTCTTTTCCAAAGTTTCTTCATGGCATTTTTCACTTCCTTATTCCTAAGAGTATAAATCAAAGGGTTGAGCAGGGGAGACAGGGTGCAGTAAAACAGTGCCACCATTTTGTCAAAGGAGAAGGCAGAGGGAGATCGTGCGTATGTAAATATGCAGGGCACAAAAAATAAAACCACAACAGCAAGGTGGGACCCACAGGTGGACAGAGCCTTCCCCCTCCCTTCAGAACTGTGCTTCCTCAGGGAGAACAAGATGACACCATAGGACACAAGCAACAGGGAGAAGATTATAATGCAGATAGACCCGCTGTTGGCAACCACCAGAAGGCCAAAGATGTGTGTGTCAGTGCAGGCAAGCTTCAGTAATGGGAATAAGTCACACAGGAAATGGTCAATGACATTGGGGCCACAAAAGGGGAGCTGGAAAGTGAAGAGAATTTGGTTGATGGAGTGCAGGAAGCCCCCGGTCCAGGCTACGCCCACCAGAACATAGCAGAGCCTCCTGTTCATGATGGAGGAATAGTGCAAGGGCTTGCAAATGGCCACGTAACGGTCATAGGCCATGGCTGTGAGGACAATCACCTCTGCTCCACCAAAGAAGTGTTCAGAAAACAGTTGTATCATGCAGCCTTGAAAAGAGATGGTTTTCATCTCATAGAACAGGTCCACAATCATCTT